CAAAATGGGGTGAATCCTCCCCTTTTTTGGGATTGGGGGGGGGCCTGACCCCGTTTTTGGGGGGTTTTGACCCCGTTTTTGGGGGGTTTCAGGCGCTGCTGCTGCAGGCCCACCAGCTGGAGCTGAGGAAGAGGAGGGAGGAGGAGAAGGTGGAGAAGAGGCTGAAGGTGCCCCCCGGGACCGAGCGCCCCTCGGCGGTGAGAGCCTTTTTGGGGGCATTTCACTCCTTTTTGGGGCATTTCCTTCTTTTTCAGGCATTTCCACCCTTTTGGGGTCATTTCTACCGTTTCTGGGGTCATTTCCTCCCTTTTTGGGTCTTTTTGGGTCCTTTTTTAGGGTCATTTTCTCACTTCTTGGGTCATTCCCCCCCCTTTTGTTCTATTCCCCTTTTTGGGATCATTTCCTCACTTTTTAGGGTCATTTCCATCCTTTTTGGGTCGTTTCTCCCTGTTTTGTTCCATTCTCTCTCTTTTTGGGTCCATTCTCTTTTTGGGGTCCTTTCCCCCCCTTTTTGGGTCGTTTCTCCCCCCTTTTTGGGTCGTTTCTCCCCCCTTTTGGGTCCATTTTCCCCCCTTTTGGATCCATTTTCCTCCTTTTTGGGGTCCTTTCCCCCCCTTTTGGGTTGTTTCTCCCCCTTTTGGGTCCGTTTCTCCCCCTTTTGGTCCATTTTCCTCCTTTTTGGGTCCATTCTCTCTCTTTTTGGGTCCATTCTCTCTTTGGGGCGGATTCGACCCTTTTTGGGTCCATCTCCTCCCTTTTTGGGGTCATTTCACTCCTTTTTGGGGTCATTTCCACCCTTTTGGGGTCATTTCCTCCCTTTTTGGGTCATTTCACTCCTTTTTGGGGTCGTTTCCCCCCCCTTTTGGGGTAATTTCTCTCTCTTTTTGGGGTCATTTCTTTCCTTTTGGGGTAATTTCTTCCCTTTTAGGATCCCTTTCCCCCTTTTGGGGGGTCATTTCCTGCCTTTTTGGGTCCATTTCCCCCCCTTTTTGGGTTGTTTCACTCCTTTCTGGGTCATTTCCTCCCTTTTTGGGGTCATTTCACTCCTTTTTGGGGTCGTTTCCCCCCCCTTTTGGGGTAATTTCTCTCTCTTTTTGGGGTCATTTCTTTCCTTTTGGGGTAATTTCTTCCCTTTTAGGATCCCTTTCCCCCTTTTGGGGGGTCATTTCCTGCCTTTTTGGGTCCATTTCCCCCCCTTTTTGGGTTGTTTCACTCCTTTCTGGGTCATTTCCTCCCTTTTTGGGGTCATTTCACTCCTTTTTGGGTCGTTTCCTCCCTTTTTGGGGTCATTTCACTCCTTTTTGGGTCGTTTCCTCCCTTTTTGGGGTCATTTCACTCCTTTTTGGGGTCGTTTCCCCCCCCTTTTGGGGTAATTTCTCTCTCTTTTTGGGGTCATTTCTTTCCTTTTGGGGTAATTTCTTCCCTTTTAGGATCCCTTTCCCCCTTTTGGGGGGTCATTTCCTGCCTTTTTGGGTCCATTTCCCCCCCTTTTTGGGTTGTTTCACTCCTTTCTGGGTCATTTCCTCCCTTTTTGAGTCGTTTCCACCCTTTGGGGGGTCATTTCCTGCCTTTTTGGGTCCATTTCCCCCCCTTTTTGGGTTGTTTCACTCCTTTCTGGGTCATTTCCTCCCTTTTTGAGTCGTTTCCACCCTTTTTGTTCTATTGCCCCCCACGTTTTTGGGGCATTTGCTCTCTTTTTGGGTCATTTCCCTCCCTTTTGGGTCATTTCCCTCTCTTTTGGGTCATTTCCCTCCCTTTTGGGGTCATTTCACTCCTTTTTGGGTCGTTTCCTCATTTTTGGGGTCATTTTAACCCTTTTGGGGTTATTTGTTCCCTTTTTGGGTCATTTCCTTCCCTTTTGGGTCCGTTTCACTCTTTTTGGGTCCATTTCCACTCTTCTGGGGTCATTTTAGTCCTTTTTGGGGCATTTCCTCTCTCTTTGGGTCATTTTCTCTCTTTTGGGGTCGTTTCCACCCTTTTTGGGTCGTTTCCACCCATTTTGTTCCATTCCCCTCCACCTTTTTGGGGTCGTTTCCTCCCCTTTTTGGGGTCATTTCCCCCCCTTTTTGGGTCATTTCCCCCCCTTTTTGGGTCATTTCCCCTCCTTTTTGGGTCGTTTGCTCCCTTTTTGGGTCCATTTCCCCCCCTTTTTGGGTTGTTTCACTCCTTTCTGGGTCATTTCCTCCCTTTTTGAGTCATTTCCACCCTTTTTGTTCCATTCCCCCCCACCTTTTTGGGGTCATTTCCCTTCTTTCTGGGGTCATTTCACTCCTTTTTGGGGCATTTCACTCCTTTTTGGGTCATTTCCTCCCTTTTTGGGGTCATTTCACTCCTTTTTGGGGCATTTCACTCCTTTTTGGGTCATTTCCTCCCTTTTTGGGGTCATTTCACTCCTTTTTGGGTCCATTTCCACCCTTTTAGGGTTCATTCCCCCTTCCTTTAGGGTCCATTTCCCCCCCTTTTTGGGTCCATCTCTTCCCTTTTTGGGGTCATTTCCCCCCACTTTTGGGTCCATTTCCTCCCTTTTTTGGGTCCATTTCCACGCTTTTAGGGTCTATTTCCCCCCCTTTTGGGTCAATTTCCCCCTTTTTTAGGTCTGTTTCTCTGTCTTTTAGGGTCCATTTCCCCCCTTTTTGGGTCTATTTCCCTCTTTTTAGGGTCTGTTTCCCCCCTTTTAGGGTCCATTTCTCTCCCTTTTTGGGTCCATTCTCTCTGGTTTTGGGGCTGATTCAACCCTTTTTGGGTCTATTTTCCCTCTTTTTCGGTCTATTTTCTCTTTTTGGGACTGTTTCCCTCCTTTTTGGGTCTGTTCTCTCCCTTTTTGTGTCCATCCCCCCCCTTTATGGGTCCATTTGCTTCTTTTTTGGGTCTGTTTCCCCCCCTTTTGGGTGCATTTCTCCCTTTTTGGGTCCATTCTCTCCCTTTTTAGGTCTGTTTCTCTCCCTTTTAGGGTCCATTCCCTCCATTTTTGGGTCCGTTCTCCCCCTTTCTGGTTCCATTTCCCCCCCATTTTGGGTCCATTCCCCTCTTTTCGGCAGCAGTTTTATCCCTTTTGGGGTCTATTCTCTTTTTGGTGCTGATTCAACCCTTTTTGGGGTCATTTCCCCTCTTTTTGGGTCCGTTTCCCCCCTTTTTGGCTCCATTTCCTTCCCTCGTTGGTTTTTTTCAGGGGTGGGGTTTCTTTATGCC